AGAGGCAGGGAGTAAGGAGATAAGGGAGAACGGATGAAACATTTTTTTTTTTTTAAGTTTAAAAAAAAATTAAATGAAACAAAAATAAGTGTTAGAGAAATGACATATGCCTAAACTTCCCAGTAATCAAGACAGACAAATTAAAGAGAAAAAAGGTTAAATGCATGAATCTCTTTACCTTGGGCTCCAAAGAGAGAGACTGGGAATTTAGGTGAGCAGGGATGCTATGGAATGTCCTTAATTATCATCAGAGATGTGCTTACTGCCCATGACTACATCTGTGAGTACATCATATTTATATGATCTTATATATGGTCAGTTCTTTTTATTCACATTAGTTATGTTCTATATAAAGCTGCCACAAACACCAAATAGCAAATACTCAACCATTGCTCCTAGGGGAAGTACAGGGTTAGGTTCCTATGAGCTTCTGGTCACAACATTTTCATCAACCAATCAATACATAACTTTGTAAAAACCTAATAATAGCAAATAGCACATTTAGCATGTGCCAGGCACACTTGTAACCATTTTGTACTTGTTAATTCATATAAACCTTACAATAACTCTAGGAGGCAAGTACCTTAGATATCATCATTTTTTTAAAAATATTTTTATTTATTTCTAGGAGAGAGAGAGACAGCGTGAGCAGGGGAGGGTCAGAGAGAGAGGGAGACACAGATTCTGAAACAGTCTCCAGGCTCTGAGCTGGCAGTCAGCATAGAGCCCGACGCGGGGCTCGAACCCACAAACCACGAGATCATGACCTAAGCGAAAGTCGGACGCTTAACCGACTAAGCCACCCAGGCGCCCCTAGATATCATCATTTTAATAAAGATGTTAAAATAATCTGCCTAAGATCATGCAGCAAGGATATCATACAGGCAGTCTGACTCCAAATTTTAGTTTTATACCCAGTACACTATACAGCACTATATTCTATAGGTATTTCAAACCCAGCATTACCAAAACTGTGCTTTAATCTGCCACACCCTCATCAAAACAAAAATATCTCACTGTTCTTCTTATATATTTCCTCCCTGTTAATAATTCCAATATTCACATAATACCCAAATGAAGAAGTCTGGGAGCCATCCAAATCTCCTAACCTCACTGATTCCCCACATGAGATCTGTCCTCAGATTGTGTCAGTTAACCTTCTAAATGATTTCCCCATCTCCCCCATTCGTCTCCACCCCCCACTGCCCAAATCAACACCTTCTTCTGTAAGTTTAAATCGACTCCCTGCTTCCTATCTCTTACTACTGTGATTCAACCTGCCAACATCCAAAATAATGCTTGTAAAATGCAACTCCGATTATTATATATGCTGCTTAAAACTAAATACATAAAAATAAATATTTTATATTATTATACATGTTGCTTAAAACTCTTCAAAGGCTGCCGATAAGATAAAATCAAAATGTTAGTGTAACAGACAACACCCCTTGATATAGTCCCTGACTACTATGGCCCTTGTCTCCTGTTCCCACCCACTGTGCTAAGATCTATCCACACCAAATTACTTACCCATCTGTTTCTTGCCTCCCTACCATGGCACATCCTATACAGGTGTTTTTTTTTTTTTTTTTCCTACTTTAAATGTTCTCCTTCCTTTTCCCTTTTCAATTCCCAGTCACCTAGAAAATTCTTATTTATCCTCCAAAATCCAGCTCTAATATCCCTTCTTCTGGTAACACCCCTGGACACCTTGGCAAGAAGAGCTGGTTACTTCATTCTTCATCAGTGTATAGAATGCTGACTTGGCACTCATCCCATAAGGTGATCACATCTTACATCTCCGTCTCCCTCATTTTATTACTGGCTACTAGAGGACAGAAAAGTGGACCTTGTTCATCATTGTATTCCCAGTGCCTGGCATGTCAGAGATGTCCAATGAATGCTTGTTGAATGATCAAATGAGCGAATGAATAAAACCACAATACATAGTGACATTTGTCATATAGGAAATAAAGAAGAGGCAAAATTTACAGCATCTATCCTACTAACCATTTACAGGAGAAGAAAAATGAATGGAAATGAGGAAATTGAAAGGCAAAGAGACCAGGAAATCAGCTTAAGGTGAGTAAAGAAAATGATAGGTTTGGGTATAAACAGGTTAGATTGTATATGCACCACTAAGTGGTTAGAAAAACAAGATCAGAAAATAGATGAGAGCTCAAGGTTAAGATTGTAGGTTTGACAATTAAAATAGAAGTGTTTTTTTTTTTTTTTACCAACAGAAGAGTTTTCCAGTTATGTAAGAGTAGAATGAACAATTTTACTGACCCTCTTCTCTCTTTTTTTTAAGTTTATTTATTTATTTATTTGGAGAGAGAGAGAGAGTGCGCGCACATACACAAGTGAGGAAGGGGCAGAGAGAAAGAGGGAGAAAGAGAACTCTAAGAGACAGACTCTGGCAGCACAGAGCCTTCATGAACTGTGAGATCATAGCCTGACCCAAAATCAAAAGTCAAGTGCTTAACCAAATGAACCGCCGAGGCATCCCTTTACTGACCCTCTTCTAAAAAGAAAATGTTAAAGGACTCTCTAAACATAGTTTATAACAGTAATCACAAAAGTCATATTTAACAGAACCATAAATAGTTTATCATGATTTCTTTCAATTGTTCCTTCTGTTTTTATCTCTACTATCATAATCCTTTAAGAAGTGAAATACAAAAAGAAAATTATGAAAGCATAATCCAGAAAGTACCTTTTCTTAGAAGAGGACTCAAACCCACAGCAGAAACCTCTAGGAATGATGAGAGTCAGGCCACTGCTTCTTCCTTAGAATTGTCACAGCTATGCTCAGCCCTGCCCTGACAGTAACCTCTGAACACTTTCTCGCCGACCCCAGAAAACAGGATAGAGAAAAACTACCCACTTCATGTCCTTGCTTTCCATTCTCTCTGCCTTAAGAACTAATGAAGTATTATACTGATGTTGTACAGACGTTGCTTATATCTAAATGATACCAAAATGACAGGTAAAAAGGCAGAAAACAAAAAAAGCATATAATCAACTGATTACATAAGCCAACTCATGAGGTGAGGTGTAAACAATTGGTTATTACAGTTACGCTATGCCAAATATCTTGTCTGATATTTTCTTTCTGAATTGACTTCTGGGTGTGTGTGTGTAAACCATAAGACAGCCAGTGACTGACAGGAAATGTGATTTGCAACAACATAGCCAGCCCAAACCAGAAAAATTGATAAGGATTTATGATGCTTATTTCCCTGCTAACCCAATATAGGTGGGGCCCTGGAAAATGTTTGATACCAGAAAATACCTATCCCCTGGGACTTTTATATAATTTACCACAGTGGGTAAAGTAGTGCCAATCCTGGTTTTGCGGTTTACACTATCCCCAGGCTGGTATATTTGGCTTGTAGCTTCCTGAATCTCTTTTCTTTATCAGTGTTAAAACCGCTTCCAAAGAAACCACGTGATTAAAGGTATGTTATAGCTCTCTCTCCAGGACTGATACGGCTCTATCACATTGGGCATGAAGTCCAGAATCCTCATTCTCACGTTTTTAAAGCATTTCATGCTTGTCTGCCCTCCTCCCTCTTGCCTGCCTTGTGAATCAGATCATCCTGGGGTATGATCCCAGAAACATCTGATTCCACTCCGAGGAGTGAAACTATGCCCGGATGCTCCCCAGACTCTCCTGACCTTTACACCTGAGCCAGGCAGACAATGGTGGCACGCGGACCTAGGTTTGTGATCTTACACAAGTTATTCAACTTCTAATAAATTATTTCCTTACCTGAAAAAAAATAGGAATAATAATAGCATTCTAATGGATTTGGCCTGAGGATGAAGTAAGGTCACATCAGTAGAACAATCACTACACCACCTGAACCCTAGAGATATTCAGTGAATATGCTTGTCCCCCACCTTTTCCTCCATGCAGTTTCATCTGGCTTGGGGAATCCTCTTGGTCGACCGGACTCCACTCAGCACCCTCACTGTGACTGTAAAGCCCACACAGGACACTCTCAATTCCTAGGTTTCTATTACACTCACCTCCCATGTGTGTCAAAAAATAAGTGTAGAGATTTAAATTGAGGGAGTTCACAATTGCCCCAGTCAAAATTAAACTATATTTTCAGTATAGTGATGAATCACCTTCTTATATACACTCTTAAAAGATTATTTTTGAGAGCAAGTAGGGGAGAAGCAGTCTACACTGTGAGCACAGAGCCAGCCCTACACAGGGCTCAATTCCATGAACCATGAGCCAAGGTAGAGCGCTTAACCGACTGAGCCACCCAGGTTCCCTTCTCACATATACTTTTAAATGCTCACTGGATTACATGTTTGCATGACATTTTCACTTGTATCTTTCTTTGTTTTAAAAACTAGATTTTGAATATATGTGTATGTGTATTAATGTATATCATATATAGCCATAAATACACGTGACTAGCTGTATTTATTGTAGCAGTGCTTATTATTGATGCTATGCAGAAGTAGCTCATTTAATTCTCGAGATAACCTTAGGAGAGAAGTACAATTATTACTCCTCTTTTACAGATGAAGAAACCGAGACTTAAGGACGTTAGGTAACTTAACCAAGGTCGCACATCTAATAAGCAAATATTAGCGCACTCAAAATTGCTAAACAACTAACTGCATTTGTGAAGCTTTGTTTCATTTTAATTGGAAGCATAGAAACTGTGTTTTAAGTGCTTTTAACCCTGAATGAAGCGCACTGCTGAGCTCCCAGGAGAAGATAAACAGGGGGACAGGTGTTACTTTAAGAGACGGCTGGAGGTTGTAACCCGAAGCCGCCTGCAGCGCGCCAGAGGGGTCTGGGAGGCTGCACCCAGCCGCTGAGCGTCGGTAAACTCCCGCGGGTCAGGCGCGGTTCTTTCTTCCAAAGTTGGAGCTCTCCCTGGTGGGAGGGGGTGGGGAAGCGGGTAGGCCAGTGACGTCACTCAGGAGCTGGGATAAAGCTCGCCCGCCGCACTCCCGGCCAGGGCACTTTCTGGGGAGCGGAGTGGCTGTCCCGCTCGGGGACACTTGCCGCCGCTCACTGCGCTCCAGTCCTTGGGAGCCAAGGCCACCACGCCAAGAGCACCATGCCCCAGAACGTGGTTCTTCCGGGCCCTGCGCCCTGGGGCTTCAGACTCTCGGGGGGCATAGACTTCAACCAGCCTTTGGTCATCACCAGGGTAGGTGTTCTCGGTTCTTCGCTGCAGGTCGGGGGCTGGCGTGCGGCGGGGTTCCCAGGAGCGGAGAGTGGCCAATGTCCCCGGGTGCGCTAGGTGGGTCCTCCACTTCGGGCTCACAGCAGCCACTTGGCAAACGAGCTGGGAGGATGCAGGGCAACTTACGAGTATTTACAGAGTCCGCTGCAATCTGCATCCTGTCGGTCCCCAACAACTTTGGAAGAGAGGTGAACTGACACCGTGATTCCCCTGGGATCAGAGAAGGCTGGTCTGCAAGGGTTGGGGGGGGGGGGGGGGCTTCTGCTCTCAACCCCCGTTTCCTTTCAGTAACGAAAGAAATGAGGTCCCAGGAAGGAGGGAGGAATGACTGACATTGGCGTTTGCTCCTTAGAGCCAAACGCGCACCTGAGCGCTTTTCTCCTTCAGCAGAGCCCTGATCGCAGGGCACAACCTGGGCCGGCCGAGTTGGAACCACTCATATCAGCCCAGACAGGGAAAATATTACGAATGTGTTTTCCTAGGTTTCCAGGCATTTTGAATAAATATTTTCCAAAGCTGGGAATTTGGCTTAGGAATCATCACCTATAACTCAAACTACAAAGAAAATATGTCAGATAGTTTAGTTTACCTGGTGGAAAGTCACATTCAGCCTAATAACTCTGAAAATAATACCTTATTATCAGCGTCCAACTTTCCTTACTTAATATTCCCTAGAGTATTTTCTAATTTGAAAAAAAAAAAGAAAAAAGAAAAAGGAAATTTTGGGATTTCTGTCCTGTCAGTAAATAACTAGTTGGTCTAGTTGATTTTTTTTTCTAACACAAGTGTTTGTCTGAATAGAAAACTGTTACTTCAATTGTCAATATAAGGTATATTAAAGATAATCTAAAAACATAAACTTTCAGAAAATTATTCTTTTCTTATATTTTCTTTTCTTCCTTACTGCTTATATTGTGTTTTATAAATGCATACATTATAATCTGACTTGCTCCTGTAGATTTTTAAACAAGGTAATACCTTTTAAACTCTGTTCTACTTATATATCTATGAGCTTTGGGAACCAATGTCTTTTTAAAATATCTCAAAACATGTACCATACATATGCGTATCATGGAATATTTCAAGCTTTGTTTTACATTTTTTGAAAACATATAAACACATCTGACATATGTTTTTGTATGAGACATGAAATCTTAACATACCTCCAAAAATGTTCCTAAGTAAATTAAGCAGAAAATGGTTCAGTGATCTGGGCCAAGCAATGAATGCCTTTTATGGATTTACCAACCAAAACAGTTTCCATTATCTCTACTAAGAAATATTTTTAAAGTTTCTGAAGTATAGCTTTCATTTGTTTAAAGGAAATAAGCTTTTGAGTCTTAACAAAGGATAAATCATATTTATAGCAAATGCTAAAGAAATAATTTTGTCACCAAAATCTTTTAAGTGATTTGTAAAAGAAATATCTTGCTATTACTATGTAACACATCAATATGATTAATCTTATGTTTGAAATTTTGCATTGTTGACATTACAAATAATGTTTTTTTAAAAGCAGTACTTATATTTTGTCATTGGACTACAGGTGCTATTTGATAATGTAGTTGACATGACAGTTATTATTTGGGTAGCCAATTCATTCTTGATTTTTTGATTCATTACTAATTTGTATCATTCATTTGGCCATGGTTCAATAACAATGCATGACCATAAATGATTATTTCATTTGACTCTGCCTTTTCTCTTAAATTTTAATTTAACTCAAGAATACCAGGTAAAATTCAATGAGTTTGTATTCCAAGTGCCCCCCAAACCATACACAAAACGGATTCATACTGAATAAACAAAAGCATATTCACTTGAACTTTTTTGCCTTTGTGAACACCTAACTTGAGAATATTTCCATTAAAATGATAAGAACACTAAAAATCACTTGTAAAAACACTGAAAGATATTACACAAAATTAATTATCAGTGTTGTAATTAAACAGTAAAATTCTATTACTTTTATCAATGTTTTATCAATGTATCTATTACTTTTATCAACCTGTTTATACTAACAGGTAGTGATACGATTGTATATGGGTTAGCGCACGCCTTTGTTTCCTGTGCATGCTCCTTGGCCCTTTACATGCACTAACTCGCTGAAATCTCACAATAATCCTCTAAGAGGAGAAGTAGTAATATATACTTTGTTGCACATGAGAGAATGAAGCTTCAAGAATTCCATTAACCTGCTGATGATCACAAGTGGACAGAACTCGACACTAGCTCTGCATGTGTCCAAAGCCTGCGTTGTGAAGTCCACACATGTAAAAAGTCCTGTTTGTTGTACAGATCTTTCCAAATAGGTGTTTTGTGCCATCCACGTCATCAACTGGTCCTAATGATTCTATATCTTTAAGATCTACCACGTACCTTTTTCCCCTACCACTGTCTGTCTTTAAGCTTCCATAACTTCACACCTAGCTATTTGTCTCCCCTCTCTATTCACTCTGCATATTCCTACCAGCTGTCTTGGGGATTGCTTCTATTGTCTCCATTCTTAAAAATCCCCCAATGGCAACACCAGTTTGGAGAGAATAAAATGTGTGGTCTGTGCGTACATTCCCGGCCTTCACTCTCTTCCCAACTCAAGTTTCCAACTTCACTTCCTCCCTCTCTCTTCCTTCTCACTCCCTTTCCTTCTCCCACTACCATAGATTGATTGGCAGTTGCATCACTACCCTGGACAACTTAGGCTCTCTCTATGATGTCTACACCCACTATCATTCATCTCCAGATTGTTCCTCCTCATCCTACCCCACTGTCCTCTATACCTAGAGAAACCCAATCAAATACCAATTGCATAGTATTCTTGTAATAACAAATATTTCATCCATTTACTTACCATAGCTTTTGCCCTACAACCTCTCCTTATATCATGCTTTGTAGCACAGATGTTTGAATACATCTGTATCCCATAGATTGCAGGCTCCCTGAAGGTAGAAACTTGTACATTTAGGGGCCCACTCAGTGCTGAACAGAGTGTCTACTACATCATATACGTTACAGAATATAGACATAATATGAATGATTGGTTAAATTGTTTGCTTTTTATATAGCTATTATTATCATAATAGGTGCAGATTGTGTGCTCAAAATATTCTACAATAAAGATAAGTGTGAATTGTTTTATTGTTAATTGTTCTGTCTGTTTGAGATAAGTTCTTAAGTATGCAAAGAATTGTGAAACCAATGGCTGTACTTAATACCACAAAAATCCCTATAAATGAGATACATGCCTCAAATCGAATCAGCTTTTGTCTTGCAGCAAGCCACGGCCTTCCCTCTTTGCCTCACACTCTGCAAATGCAAATGCTCCTAGACAGTGGGCCTCTACTCCACTACAGTTGGGGGAGGGGGTTACCAATGGAACACTCGCCAGCAACTGATATTACAACTCACAAAATTAGGTAGGACCTAGGGTCCCCACCCTAGAAATCATTTACAATTCAATTAATCAGCCAGGTTGATCTGTATCACAAAAGACATCAGAAGTAAGGTAAACCAAACACAATGCATTCCTGAAAAAAAAAAAATTAGCAATGGGTTGTGATACGCACAATTGCAGGAAAACAGTTTCAAGTGCTGTACTTGGTGCAATATAAATTTGAGTTGTGGATGTGGAAGGGTTGTTATTGCAAACACTGTACATTACTGGCCTCCACATTTCACAGAATAGATCTGAAGCTCACATCTCTAAGTGAGCAGCTTTTCTGTTTCTGGCAAGAAGAGTCTAAGGAGTCTCTCTTCTTAAGTGTTTGGACCACCCAGAAGGTGGATCTACGATCAGCCAAGTTACAGATGGTTTGTTTGCACAACTGGTCCAATTTGGAATAAAGTACAAGTTTCTTTTGTGTATATGATGTAAAATTATTGTATACATCTGATGCTGGTATGTCTTTTCCCACTCAGTGCCTCTTCCTCCCCCTCTTCCTCCCTCCTTCCTATTCAGAGCACAGTCAGGGCCAAGATCACTGTAACTGAGAACACTATATAGACTTGGGTACCAATATACAAAATGTGACTGTATTCTTAAGTTTTTCAGGCTTGAACATAGAAAAGTATGTTACTTAAATATAAGCTATATTTGAAATTTGAATTTTTAGAAAGAAATGTTTACAGTTGAATGTAATCCTTTAACAGGATTCAAGTGCACTAGGAAGGCTGATGGGAAAACCTATTGAATTTTATTCTACCAAAGACATGTCTGCATGGAAATGTTGGTTCATATGTTCATAACATTCCTACATCCCACAAATATCTATTAAGTGCAGAATGTACCGTATGTGGAAGGCACTGTGAGGGATAGAGTTATAATGTAATGGGATTCCTCCCCCTTCCTCCCCTCAAGATGTTCGAATACAAGAAGAGAAGGGACATACATGTACATGAACTACCATGACATATCCTGTCCAGGATACCATGAGAAAAGTATGGCCAAGGGTAGGAGGAGTAGGGGCAGAGACTGCCTGCAGGAGTGGTCTTGTAGGATGGTGGAAGAACTTGAGCTACAGAGTTAGACCTATGAGAAATTACAGATTTTCACCTGATGTGTGACCCCCAGCAAGTTTCCTCTACTCTGAGAGCATCAGTTGTCTCATCTTAAAAGAGTGTCTTGAGAATTCAGTGAGACAATTGTTCTCAGTAATACAATACCAACAATAGTTCTCAACCCTGGCTGCCCATTAGATTCACCCAGATAACTTGTGAAATACTCATGCCCAGACATTACTTGTAGAGGTTCTGATGCAACTGGTGTGAGGGATGGCCCTAGAAATGTAGATTACAGCCAGGCACTAGAGGGCTTTATATGCCAGGTGGGGCATTGGAGTTTATTTGTAGGCAACAAAGAACAACTGAACAAGGGGCTTTCTCACTATTTTGCTCAATACCCCACAGCACAGCCCTTTAGTATATACTTGCCTTGTTCATAACTATTTCAGTCGTTTTTATTCTTAACATAAAAGTCTCACCACAGCCATATCTTATGCTTCCTCATGTCTCCTGCAGTAAATAGAATATTACAGATGCATTATATGTAATTTAAATTAGTTTTTTTTCCAAATGGACCCAAACAGTAGATTGATGTGAATAACGGAAATCATCTGAGGCATTTGTTAAAACACAAATTCCCTAGTTCCTCTCCTAGAGTTTATGATTTGTGATTCCAGGCATCTAGAGTGGAATGGGAGTCTTTATGACCAGCAAGAACCCCAGGTTCTAACATGTTTTTACTCGAAGAAAAGACTTTTGGTCTTAGAAGTTTAAAAATAGATAGTACTGATTTTGACAAACTATAGCTAGAGAAAATTAAAAGTTTAATATTATTTTTATCCCTGCAAGTCACACTAGGGATGGAAACTTTTATTCTTCTATCAGTTCTGGGTCTGGGAGAATTTCCAAATGGAAAACAGCTAAGAAATGCTTCCCAAAGGCTGAAATATAATAATCCCCATTGTCTTCACCAAGCTTCTATTAACTGTTCCTATCAGAAAATGATGACAATCACTACAGTGACACGATCACATAAAGAAGTGAGTACAATAGATATTTTAGTGATGAGACTGAAGATCTCAAATGTACAAGAATTCATTACCTTAGCAATTTTATTCATTTAGACGAAACTTGGATATCCCTTAGAGCTACAAAGTTAAACAGAATTGATAGCTAAATTAATAGAAAAAAAATGAATGAATGACTATCCTCAAGTAAAATATTAGGAACAATCTGTTTATTCCTAGAGCAGGTAGAGGTTTAAGTAAAGTCCTGTGCATTCTTCTGCTCTAAACAATGGAAACTTGCAAATGTAATAATGATAGGTTTGACCTTAATAGCTATAATCTTTGGGCCTGCAGGGAGTAGGTGTTTTTGTTCCATGAGCTTATTTAAATATCCATTTCATTCATTTTCAGTTATTCATTAATTCCAAACACTGGAATATACACTGTGATGCATTAGAAATATATATGTTACTATAGATATGCTCAAGAACTTCCAGTCTGGTTGCCAAGACAATACACAAGTAAATAAACAAACATTAAAGTATAAATTATCTTCAGGAAGGAAGTGAATAAAATGTAATGGTGGAGAATGATGGGGGAGGATCTGGAGAAACTACTTCAGATGTTTGGGGAAGTCTCTTTCAGAATGTGATGTGTAAGTCTAGACCTAAAGGATGAGGAGAAGCAACTGGGTGAAGAGTGGCGGAAACATTTCAGACAAAAATAACAGTGCATGTAAAGCCCTAAAGAGGGTACACACCTGCCCTATTTGAGGAACAAAAAGGAAATTGGAATAGCTACAGCACAGTGGGTGATGGGGAGCAGGAATGGTGTAAGATGATGTTAGAGAAGTAGGTAGGATAAGACCCGGTAAGGGCTATTAGGCAGTTGTAAATAATTGGGATTTACCCAGAAAGATTAGGAGTAGGTATAGCAATCAAAAACTAAATACTCAACATGGTAATAATTTCAAATTTGCTATCTTTTAAACATTTAATAACCATATGTTCCCCATTAAGTATTCCTTTCATAGCCCTACCCCACCCCCACCCCCCAAAAAAGAGAAATCCATGTGGTTTTCTTGTAGACAACATAAAACTGCATATTTTTTAAAACTAGTTTGACAATCTCTGTTAAAAAAATAGAATATGGTTAGACCATTTACATTTAATGTAATTACTGATAAGGTTTAACTAAAATACAGCATCTCGTTAGTTGCTTTTACTTGTTCAATCTGTTTTTCATTCATGGAGAAGAGATTGTTTACGGATGCAAACTTCTCTGTGTCTGCCATTCACAAGGGTTCTCAAATCTCAATGCTAACTTTAGTAATTTGTTCATAATTTTACCTAAATTCTTCTTTATGGCTAAAATGGTGGTCTCATGCTATGCTCTGATACAGTGATACAAGTTGCTTACATCTTGACTTCCTTGGAGGCATCTGTCTTTCCATGGATCCCAGGCTAGTTGCTTGTCCTGCAGCTTCAGCTCTCTGAATAGTTTGTAAAAAGTTATAATTTTATATATTATATGGCTTCTTATTAATGCAGGAGTGACTCCCTTCCTAGCTTTCTACAGTCTAGATGCCCCTTCATGTGAATTTTAAAGGTCATTACTTACAGGGATGCTACAGTAGTTTCAATTCAAATATAAAAGCTCCCCAATTTGGTGAAGTTGTATTTCCGAATAGAGAGTTATGGGTGAAATAATACCTGAAGAACAAACTATTTTGTTTAAAGCAAACTATTTTCTTTAAAGCAAAGAAAATATGTTTCAAATAAGGAGTTAAGGAGGATGTTTTAAAAGAGAATAAGAGAGGTCATTATAGATGACATGTGGTTAGTAAGAAACAAAAATATTTAGCATGGTGGAAAAATAGAGCTAACACAATTGATCAATTAAGAGTTATTTTAAGTTAGATTTATATTTCCCTGCCCGGTATAACATTTAAAATGTTACCAAGCTGAAATATAAATGTCAGTCACAAAACTCAAGATAGTGTGGAATGTTGATCTTTAAATGATGCCATGATTTCTTCCAGATTACTCCAGGAAGCAAGGCGGCAGCTGCCCACCTGTGTCCTGGAGATGTCATCCTGGCTATTGATGGCTTTGGTACAGAGTCCATGACTCACGCTGATGCACAGGACAGGATTAAAGCAGCAGGCCACCAGCTGTGCCTCAAAATTGACAGGTGCTCTTTAATTAATGGTGTTAAAATGTGATCTGTTTGGCAGGAGAACCTGAACCAGAACTATAAATGATTTCATACCCCCAGTGAGAAGGAGTGTCACAGGACCTAGAATTTTGACTGGCTTTTTAAAACATGTCCGCCTGTTCTTCATGGATGTCGATCAATCTAGTAGTTGTTAACAAACTGTTTCAGAAAAGAATTCTTTTGGAATGTCAGAATAATGAAAGAGGCTAAAAGAATTTTTTTTCCTGTTAATAGCACCATTAAAGGAACTGACCAAAGAAAGAATGCACAGCACAGCTACTTGTAGTGCTGTTCTAAATGTAGTAGAGAATGGAATGGAATTCAAAGATTCTCCCAAAGAATCTCTTGACTTACCAAAATGTGATCATGTCGATAACCAGTTGCTAATACCCTGTATGCCATTGGCTGTTTTGTAGAGGGCTCAGCCCAGAAGAATGTGACCAGGTGTAAGAGTGCCTGTGTAGTGAGAGTGTTAGATAGTGAGACATTTCTAACCAAAAAAATATTAGGAAATGGAACCTGATCTTTTCCCATCATAGCCCTGATCTGAAACTGAACTGTGAAAATAATGTTTTGGTATAGTGGTTGTTAGTGTGTGCTTATCCCATTGCTATTGTGTTCCCAACTTTCGCTCCTGTGGTTCGGAAGTCACAATCAGCCAATCTGCCATTTCAGGGGTGAAATGGATTCTTTCCCTATTTACCCTTAACCTGTGTTCCTGCCAAGCACGCAGTCCCTTAGGAGCACATGGTCCCAAACGGATACATGAGAAGGACATGAGATTGGACAAAGCTCATTTCCTTGATGCCAACAGTAAATCACCCTGGCAAACCACTCACTGTCTCCTGTGGTGGCCAGGGTAGGAAGGAGGGAAGGAGGGAAACCTAGAGTGTGGTCATCTGCCTCTAGAATCTTCCTCTCCTGTACTGTTTCCTATAGGTACTAGAGACCTACTTTCTCCAGGAACTGTACAATGTCTTTTTCTTAACTCAGGCTCCTGTAACAAAAATACCATAGATTGGGTGGCTTAAACAACAAATATTTATTTCTCACAGTTCCAGAAGCTGGAAGTCTGAGATCAGGGTGCCAGCGTGGTCAGGTTCCTAATTATGTCCTCACATGGCCATTCTTGGTGCATGCACACAGACAGAGATCTTGTGCCTCTTCCTCTTTATGTAAGGACATTTATCCTATCGTGACAGCTCTACCCTCATGCCCTACTCTAATCCTAATTACCTCCCAGAGACGTCACCTACAAACACCATCACACTGGGGGCTAGGGCTTCAACACAGGGACTTGTGGGAACCTAAACCTCAGTCTATAGTAGTCCTCCATGCAATTTTTATCCACTCAAGTTTCCCCAAAAGTATGAAAAAACTAATTAGAGGGGAGAATACAGAATAATGAGCAAGGAGTGTTGCTTTTGTTTACATTATCAAAGTTTGATAATATTTTGATAAAAATTATGGGAGATTAAAGTATATATAGATAGTATATAGATATACTATACCTGGAAGGACCATTAGAACTTGGAGCTTACAAAATTTCTTTTATTTACAGGGCAGAAACTCGCTTATGGTCTCCACAGGTATCTGAAGATGGGAAAGCTCATCCTTTCAAAATCAACTTGGAATCAGAACCACAGGTATGAATTTTAGAGTAAATGATATTCACATTCTATTTCCTTTTAAGTGATGTGGATGCCTTCCAAGAGAAAGAAGGGGACAATAGAAAAACTTGGAACAAGCCACCTGATAAAGCAATTATCTATCTTTACTCTGTGAGATTAATTTATATTATACACACCCTTTTTACATCAAGGAAAAAAAGAAGTATGCACAGACAAGCACCCTGTTTAAAGACAGATATGTTCTCTGGAAAAATCTGGCTATATCTACGTACAGTTCACTTATTTTTTCATTCTTTATGATGGACTTCTGCCAAATGACCCTGACATAATCCAAGAAGTTTAAAATGTTAAAATAAAGCATAACAAAATTAGGGTCTAGCATTTAAAACAGGTGTCTCTAATTTAATAATTGTTGTGAATTTCAATTCTTCGAGGTCTTCACCCAGATTTTATTTTACATGCTTCTTTAATTCTCAGTTCTGTCATTCTGTAATTAAGTTTACACTACAAAAAAGGGTTTGCATTATATAAACATGGTGATATTCTGAGTATGCAGTAGAATTACAAAAGATAGAGGATTTTCCCTTGAGGCAATTCTAATGAGCTAAATTAATCTAATAATCTGGTGCTTATCTGACCATGTCTACTTTCAAAAGCTCCAGAAACACTAAAAATAAACTGACCCTCCATTTGCTGTATGGAAAATGTAATTAAGGAAAGGATTTTAGAACTTCTCCTTAGCCAGACGTTTCCCAAGTTTAGAGAGACAGATGTATCCTGAGTAGTTTAACCTTTAGAGGGCATGAGTTTATTAGATCTTTGCCGTAGCCTTATGACTGGAGGAAAGGAAGAGCTTGAGCCTAAAAATCGCTAAGAGCAAAGGAGGAGAAATCACGTCCCAAAGGCAGTGGGCAGAATGTGGGATATCCTTGAAGGTGAGGGCTGCTGTGTGTGTTCTCTTTACTCTGAGTCTCCCAGGCAAAGCACACAGCAAGTGCTCAATAAATAGCTGACAAATGAATGAAAGGAAATGGATAAAGTGCATTTTCTAACATCGCCCAGGACCAAACCTGGGAACCAATTCTCAGAATGGTGCTTGACTGCCCCCAGCCCCAGCTGCTGCAGGGTAAAAGTGGTCGTGCAAGGTGAATGGGATTTAGGTCAGGTAAGAGCTCAGCACTTCAGGGTAAGGGAGCAAAAGATGAAATGGATGAGACAGGCCATAAATGTGGCGAGAAGGGATCTAAATGCTGGTGGTGGCTTAGCTCCTGGCATCTGAGGTGGATTGGTGAAGAGAAATACCTGTAATCAACATTACCTTTGATAGAAGAAAAGATTGGAAAAGGGAAAAACAAAGTCCCCAGGCAGAGCAGTCCCTTGTAGATGGTCCTTTGCAATAATACCTGATCCCAACTGCTTCCTCTCACCTCCAAGTCATCCCTTAGAGGATACACATGAGAAAAAGAGATCATGCAGTGCTTTAAAAAACAACAGAAAGAAAGGAAAGTTTAAGGCTCACCTATATGCATTTATTGATCACCCAATCTCTTCTTATTACCAGGACAAAATGGATAAAATTCTGAATTTCCTTTTCTGTATATAGTACACATCCAAAATTGTACTGCACTTTTCTGCAAACTAATTTTCCATTCAAAATTTCTCCTAATGTTTAAAATCTGATCTCACCAATATGAGATGCTAAGATACGGGTTCAGGGTCACCTGGTGGCTCAGTCAGCTCAGCATCTGATTTTGGCTCAGTTCATGATCTCATGGTTTATGAGTTTGAGCCACATCAGGCTCTCTGCAATCAGGGCAGAGCCTGCTTCAGATCCTCTGTCTCCCTCTCTCTGCCCCTCCTGCACTTGTACTCTATCTCTCTCAAAAATAAATAAACATTTTAAAAAATTATTTTAAAATATATGTAATATGACCGAAGTACCAAATCCCCAGTGATCCCTGACCACGTCACAGTACCTACTACTCTCACACGTGGGGGACTCAGCAAGTATTTATTAAGCACAGGCTGAGCTCAGACCAAAATGGAAGCCTGTGTTTTGCTAACATCTGTCCAGAATTGGAGTTTAAGGGAAATTGTCTGAGTTTTGGTTCTAGAAGCCCCTTTTATAAATCTACGAGCTCTAATTTATGACCATAATTATTACAAAAACTGGATTTTAAAAAATAACCCTAATTTTAAATACTCTGGCCTCTTGTTGATCACGTAGAAGCCCACGTGTCCCAAGTCTTGGGGTTAAGCAATATGGATATTTTTTTATGAGAGCACAAATGGGGAAAACACAGAGAATGAGATGGGTTTAAAAAAAAAAAAGAAAGAAAGGTGAAGCTTGGGTTAAAGGCTCCAGAATCCAGTCAGATGGAGTCTTTGAACATTCCTTTACTTTGAGTCATGGCTCGTTCTTACTGGCACCCTCTCCAGGAGGCTGGTGTTCGAAGGTCTCAGAGATAAGAACCATTTCAATTCTTCCCTTAATGGGCCAGAGGATTCATACCCTTATGATCCTCAGGCCAGATTTCTGCATGATCAGTTCACATAACTTGGCACTTCAGGACGGACATTCCCTACACACATAGCTCCACTTCAGCAGAACCCCTGCTATCTGAATCGCCAAAACATAAACTAAACAAAATGCAGTAATTGAAAGAAAATAATAAGCAGTGAATTTAACTTGGAGCATGAGCGTGGAGGAAAGCTAAGCAGAGGTTATGTTTGTCTTCTTATTTTATTTTTTAATTAACATGACACCATGCAAAAAGATATCTTGCAAAAACAGGTCTTTGCCCTGTACACACACACACACACACATACACACACACAAAATAGGAACTCTGCAAATAAAGCAACTTTATGGACAACAAAGATATGTCCATCTGAGAAACAAATGATGTTGATATCTCATGCTTTAAGATGCCTCTATAGGTGAATAAAAATTGCCACTGAGCAAATCGGTATTTGAGTTCTTATTTCTCAAGCCAAGTGAAACTTCCCCTCTAAGTTTTGTGACCTTAACTATTAGAATAAAATACTCTTTTTTTCATTTTAAAAGTAATATATTCCATGAGGGGAAAAACATTACATTCTACCACCCAAGCCCAGCCACAATTAAGAAAATGTTAGTGTATTTATTTCCAGTATATTTCCAGTATTTATTTTCCCTATGCGTAGAATTGGGATTTAGGGACTTCCCTTACACAGTTATAGTAATAATTGACATGAAATTTTAATGCCTCGGTTTTTTTAATTTGTCCATGCTATTATTAAATAGTTAAATTTTGTTTTTATGAATTCAGACTTGAATCGTAGACTTAAAAAGAATCTTAGAAGTTGTTTAGATCAATCTGTAGCCATTGAAAAAAAGCCTTCCATACAATTCTGACCATGGACTGGGAGCAGATATGCATTTTCCTATACAAAGCATTATTGCTGTAGGCTAATGCTATGTTGTTAAAGTTCTGTGTCCTTCAAAGCTGGCATTCTCAAATAAGACATTATGCTCATCTTTGTTTAATGTTAGTTGAACTCAAAATTATAATGTAGTTATCACAATATAGGAAAGATGCTTTTCAGAAACAAACATCATTTGTTTCTAAATGAGAAGGTAGTTGTTTCTGTTTCCATAAAGGATTGCATCCTTGGCCATTGAAGATAGGATAATAAAGATGTACAGGAACTATACACACAATCAAGTGAGGTGTGGGTTGGAATTATTTATATTTTCAAAAGATAGCTTTAGTCTACAATTTTTCGATAACTAGAAGGCAGCCCATACAAAACAACCTTTCTTATTCCCCATTTCCCCAAACTCGTCCCTACTATATACAGGAAACACTTGAAACAGATCACTGAAAAAAATTTGTAAGGGTGGCTATTTGTCATTTGAGTGGTGAGCATGAGGTCGGGGTGGTATTTTTCATAAATTCCAAATGTGATAAAACACCAGTAGTGCTTCACTGTGGCTTAATCAAATGTATGATCCCTTTTCCTTATTTCCCTGCCACTGTTTTTGGTAAGTAAATACATACATCTGTGTACATCATCAAACACATTGTTTCTTTGCAGCTGGTAATAGCCTCAGTTCTTGGACTGAATCTTTATCTGTGGACAACTTCTTCAAGTAAGAAGTTGGAAGGTGCAGCTGTCTTTGAATGCTATCACTGCTGAGGCCTGGAGATTGTTGCCATGAGCTGCATTCTCCCCAATACCAACAAGTCTCTATTAAGTTACCTAGCTTTTACACTGTCAGCTATAGCATTTTATTAATTCAAATTATTATTCCTTAGTATAAGCTAACATGTAAAAATAGTATATTTAAAATGCATTAATTAATTGCAGTGATTAATTATTGAATTCCTAAGAGATGAGAATCATATGGATGCTTTTGTCTGGGTAAAATAAACACAAGAGCTGGACTATACTGACTGGTACATAATTTCTTTACTGGTATTACTGTTACTGATGATTTTCCAGAAAAAGGAAAAAGAAATTAATGTGGAATATCAAACTTTTCATTGGCTTTGTCTTTTGATTCTTTTTGACCATCAACAATGATGTAAGACATGGCTAGAACATTGCCTCCCCATGCCATACTTAAATTTATTTACCTTTGATGTAAACAACTTCATTGTGCTGTTTTGGAATGACTCTAGCAGTCCATAAACTAATGCTTTGCAAAGCCTAAATACAAATGTGTGAAGCCTATGATAGAAACACTTTCTTTTATCTCCTCTTATGATTATGTGAAGAAAATAGAATTTTTTTTTAATTTTAACAAATTACACACTTGTGACCCTTGAAATATATAACCAAAACTGAAAACAGCAAAGGAAAAGCTTGGAGCTGATTAACTCAAATGCTGCTTTTTGGAAGCGCTATTAGAAATTACTAGTGCACAAATATTTTCAGTGGAGATGCCTCATTTACAGGACAATCACCATCCATGCTTATTACTCATTTTAAGACTAAGAAGAAATAAGAGCAGTGACTTTTCCCCCCATAAAACCATCATATTATATTAACTATTTTTTATAAATTCAATTCTATTTATCAAGATCTTTAAGGCATATCATACTTTGATTAAAAAAATTCCACAAAGCTTGAGAACTTCAGTTCTGCCTGATTCACTTTTAATTAGCCTGAGAAATTTATAATTTACCAAAACTAAAAGAGGCAATTAGCCTTCTGTCTTCTTTCATTTCAAAAAGAATAACAAAGGCTTGAATCATTGCCACTGCTATTACCTACAATTATTTCCAATTCACTCTTCTCATGCCATAATAATGGCTAATCAGAAAGGTTAATCATAAAAAAAAGGCAAGCAAAATTCATTATTAAATCAGCCAAAACAATCAGATGGTACCACTGTATAAATGTGTGACTACACACATTTTACCATGTTCTGGGACTTGGCATTTTTCTAAAGCCACATTTGGTTATTTCAGTCAGTGGCAACTATACTGTCACCCAACCAATTCCTAGGAAGTGAGCCATCATTCTGGAGGTAAAAATAATGAATCAGTAAGATATCAGTCAATCCAATCACAGTTTAGGATCACAGCCTATTGTATACAACTCAGACCTTTTCGAGTTCAAGAGGCTATTATAATATGATGTCCAAGGTTGAAGAGAGAAACGTTGCTCTTTACCACATCCCCGATTTTCAGGCACCAGACGATTTGGGGCAGTTGGAGTCAAAGACTCAGTACAGCTAGTATTTGAAACTGCAACCCATTTGCCTATTACAACTATGTTTTAAGTGAACTTTCCCAATCAATAGACCTAGAAGAGGGACTAGGGACTTCGTGTGATGACTGCCTGCTCAGAACCAAAACACCAAAGCATTTTGTGGCTTGGGTCTCTAAAGGAAGTTGTTGGTATGTTCTCAAGCACAAGAATCTCTGTGCAAAACTCTGGTTCCTCCCCTAAGAAAGGAAGACAGACTCTTTCTAACAATAACAAGAAAAGCACCATCCCACGACTTACTCATTTGTAATGACAAGAAGAGAAAAAGTGACATGAGCAAGAATATTACAATATCTTATTTCTTAAATAAAAACAGCCTCCTTTCAGTAACATTTCAAAGAATCATAAATGTTTGTACTCGTTGAAATCTGTGTGAATAACTGGTGGCACATTCACAAAAGTAAGCGAAGTTGATGTAAGTGAGTGAGTGAAAATATTGGAAAGATTTAGCTTACTGATTCTGCCAACTGAAAAGATCTGGAAAGAGAATCAGCTCGTGTGTATTTTAGCCTTTCCTCTTGGTTTTCTTCTGTCACTTAGAAGAAAAAGATATTTAATGACTTTACAAAATTAAAAATCTATGTAAAAATTAGAAAACCTTATTCCTACATTTAAAAATAATAATATAGAATTTCACATCATTCACACATGTTTCAGACTTTTTGGGACTTAGATGTTTGGTCCTTTTCTCCAAGCAATAAAGTAGAGATCCTCTTGTGAGTCTTATACATTAGCTATCTCTGAACTGCTGACTTTAGTCCTTCCGAGACTAGAGGAAACATGAAAAGTTCTCTAAATACACACTGCGCAATCATCACAATAAAAAAAGGAAAGTTCTGTATAAATGGTATCCCTCTTCTCATAAGGAAAAATAGTCTTTTAATGCTTATTATTTGTTCTAAATTTAAGGTTAGAACTTAATGCAAAATAAGAATTTTTTGTGGTAAGCATGAAGAAAAACTAAAGCTTTTACTTGGATTAGTTAAAATGATTCAGTATAATGATTCATAAATGCTCCCTCTCTATGATTGTTTTGTTCCCCTGTTTCCTAAAGTGGAGGAAGCTTTAATAAGATATTAATAGAAGAGAAAGTATATATAAGTTCTAATTGAGAAAATGTTAAGTATGATAATTCTTCTAAGCCACAAATCTCACTTCTGACACGGAATTTCGGTATCCAAATGAGTCATATGAGAATTTGTTAACAGCTACAGATGTAAAAGTCAGTAGGGCCAGACAAAAAGAATAATGTTCGAATTATTTTATGGTATTTTAAATAAGGTCAGTTCATCTGCACCTTAACATCTGGTGGCTGGATACAGCACATGTAAATTTCATGAAAAATATAGAAAGGTTTATACTTAACTCCTCCTTTAACCTTGCCATTAATCTTGCAGTGGGGTAAAGAAGCCTTAATTAACAATAGCGATGCTGTAGGTTTGCTCATTAACAGCTTTGTTGTGCATTCTGTGGCTCTGTGTATTTTGTCTGCCGTTGTACAGGAGTTCAAACCCATTGGTACCGCGCACAACAGAAGGGCCCAACCTTTTGTTGCAGCAGCAAACATTGATGACAAAAGACAGGTAGTGAGTGCTTCCTATAACTCACCCATTGGGCTCTATTCAACTAGCAATATCCAAGACGCGCTTCACGGACAGCTGCGGGGTCTCATTCCTAGTTCACCTCAAAAGTAAGTATCCGACTCGCCTTCTGGCCACCATGCTCTTAACAGTGATAGTGCGGTTTCTTTTCCTTTCCAAAGTCCAGCTCTTGCTGTTTTATTTTTACTTTCCTGAAGGCACAGTCAGATTTTTATTTAAAGACAAGCATCTAGAACATGGTTCTAATGTCCTGGAGTCCAGTCTGCCAGTTCCTGAACATTTAATGAACAGAGGCTTAAAACGAAGAAATAGCTCACTTCCATCATCCCCCTTCTTAGTCATGTCAATATTTGGTGGTAAATAATCTTCTTTGTGCAATTATCATTCATTTACTTTTATCTAAAAAAAAACCACTATCTTCCACTGAGGAACTTTTTAACCCTTTGTTTTTACAGGATGTGAACTACTTTGAACACAAGCACAATATTCGGCCCAAACCTTTCATAATCCCAGGCCGAAGCAGGTCATAAGCTCTGAGATTGTGATGTCTGGTGTGCATGCTTCTCCGATAAATCCTTACTAATTACTAAGAAGAGTAACACTTAGGTGTTTGGAGTGACTCTGCTCATTTTGAAGCCTGTTTCAAAAGCAAAAGAAACAAACTCACTTTTAGATGAGAACAGTAGGTAACTAACCTCCATTTCAGAGAGTAAATACTGACCAGATTACAGAGCTGTGAAATGTTAGGCAATCACCATGTATATTTATAACTAATACCCCCGCTGCTCTGAGGATCCCATCCAGAACACAGTGACCTTTGAGGCAGGCAGACGTACCCCATTCCCAGGGCAGGATAGCCCAGCCAGCAGGAACAAACATGGCAACCAGCACCCCATCAGGGGTAAGGAAGGAGGTGGGGCCTAGTGGAAATGCTGGTGCAGCTTTCTATGTTTGATAGGCTGTGAGCAGCCCTTCTCAGCCCTGTTTCTCACACCGCCATCAGCCTGCTCTGTAATCCCACTCGTTCTAGCTCTTACATAAAAATAAATCTGGGGGCACCTGGGTGACTTAGTTGGTGAAGAGTCCGACTTTGGCCCAGGTCATGATCTTCCAATTCATGAGTTTGAGCCCCACATAGGGGTCTGTGCTGACAGCTCATAGCCTGAAGCCTGCTTGGGATTCTCTCTCCCTCTCTCTCTGCCGCTCCCCGCTCATGCGCTCTCTCTCTCTCAAAAATAAATAAACATTTTTTAAAAATTTAAATAAAAAAATAAATCTTCGTCCTTATGGACACTTGCAAAGAAAGAGAGGCCATCTGAAAAGGAACTTTGCTACACGGAGGAAAGCAGTAGAAGGAAAGAGCTGGGAGAGAGAGAGGGTGGTATGTTAGTCACCCTCATGGATATAACTCTGTACCCACTGTAGTAAGAATAAGCAAGCCCTTCAGTTCTGTCAGTCAGAGAAACAGATCATCATCTTCAGTCAAATGATCCTTTTCAAATAAATATCTTATCTAGAAAATGTACTCCAACCCGAGGGAGAAATTAATGCCCTGTGTTGGCACATTGGGAAAGAGTGACTTTAGGAAACCTCAAACCCATTCCTCTGACCTCAGCTACATTAGTCAGCCCAGAGGAAGGGAGTTGGCAGTTAGGGTTTTTGAATAATGATCTAAATCCAATGTCAAAAACTAGCGTCCCATCCAATTTACAGAGGGTGTTTTATGTAACCCTTCTGTTGTTAAAAAAAAAAAAATGAACTTAAGTAAATGCCTTCAGATGGAACATCCACTCTCCATCCTGCCAAAATGCTCATCACTCCCAATACCTGGCCCATTTTCATGTATGTGTAACCCTGCTAGGCCCTGGGGGCGTCCAAGTTTATGATACCTGCTCTGGATGGTCAGTCATCGCTTGATATGTGATCTGTGATCTCCTTGTGCAGACCTTTCCGTAAGCTAGAGTCAGGGCCAGAGGATTATTCAAAATAAGCTGGCCAATTTTGTGAAATCAGACTCAGACAGAAGCAGTAAGTGGAAGAGCGGCAGACGAGGCTAAAAAGGCAGTGACTACCAAATACATCTTCCCCAACTAGAATGAGCACCTTATATCTTCCCAGCACCTAGGAACAAGGCTGGGACAGACTAAATGCTTCATAATGTTCTTAGATAAAGCAATGAAGTCCTCAGAGTACCTTATAATATTTGAGTGGCAAGAAGAATCAAGAGCTACCACCTTACCTCATACATGAACTCTGCACAAGCCTTTCTTTACTTCGTTGCTCCCTGGTCCCCATTCTATTTTCTTGCATAGCTTCTCCCTATTTCTCCACCTTCAACAGCTTCCCAGCCCCTCCCACAAGTTCACAACACTAGATTAAGAGTTAAAATGCTATGTTACTATTGAATAAATATATATGCAACTTTCTAAAGAAGCATAGTAAAATTAATGCACTTGCATTCTTTTGAGGTTGGTTTAACTGGAAGTTCACTAATCCCAAACCCTAGGACTTTAGGGGAAGAGTAAAGTGGTACATTCGAGTAACACAGATCTTGCTTTTGCTGAAGACCAGTAACACATTTAAGTTTATAAAAATTCAGGGAAAGTCAGAGGGATTCAGGTAGCTAATGGCCTTCTTTTATATTTTCATTTTAACTCAAACATGGTGATAGTGCAAGCCACTCATAATTTTGTTTTTGTAATTTTGTTATTTCAATATAGCTGAATTTGGGAGAGGAGAAAGGAGAAACAGGAACAAAAGGGTTTGCTTTAAAGACAGGTACTAGGAGCATCTGGGTGGCTCAATTGGTTAAGCATGTGACTTTGCCTCAGGCCATGATCTCATGGTTTATGAGTTTGAGCCCCATATGGGGCTCTCTGCTGTCAGCACAGAGCAAATGCCTCTACTATCTTTCCTTTCTTCCTGTGTCCCCTCACTATTTGTTCTAACTTCTAAATTTCTTGTTCTTACCAAGTGATTCTTCATTGAGGTGGAATTTTAGGTGGCTATGTACCGAGCTACAGCCACACCATCAATGAACAACTTTTTAATCAGAAGTAAGTGGGAGATGCTAAACTGTTCATATGTTAATATCTCTAGGGCCTTAGTTATGTTTCTTTTAACTACTTTATATTTGAAGCATATTAAAAAACAGTATTTTCATAGACAAACATGTAAAGTTTTAAACCCAAATTTATAGTTAAAAATATACACAATGTATTTTATAGATCAAATGATACAACAGAATCCTGGGAGTGGTTTTCAGATAGCTCACTTGCAGAAATTTGTTCCAAAAAATCTGTACACAGACCAGGGAAACTAGTTCTCTGTCTGATGATATAGAGGCATGAAGTAATTGAGTGTATCATCAAGCTTACACTCGCCAAGTCACTAAGTCAAAGTCAAGAAATCTCATTAGTATCTAACTTTCCAGGTCATAGGATAGGTCATGGTGACCCATGGTATTACCCATAGTGACCGGAGGCCATGAAAACTATTAAAGTATCAGTTCAAGAGATCTTTTAAAATTGTCCCAAGAAGTTATGAAAAGGTCATTCTTGTTTGCTTAGGGTATATTTCCATGTACTTAATAACCATGAGCCCCTAAATAGAATGATAAAGAAATCAGGGAATAGAAGATACAATCTTTGCTTAAATAAAATTATGTACACAAGCATGCTATATACAAGAACACTAATAACAGACAAAGATTACTAATTACAACTACAAAATAAGGCCTATCTGTAAGTTCTGACTGCTCATAGCTTATTTATCTACTGTCTAGGTCTATGCCTGCACACAGTAGTGTCAGAATAGCTATAAATGCTTCCTGACAAAGTTCACCATTTTAAGCTCAACTTTCTCAAGATTTAACTCAGTGTTTCAAATCCCAGAATTACAATTTAATATGCTTCGTTGCATATTAAACGAAGGTTAAATAGATTAGGTCAAATCAATATGATCCTGGGTAAACTGCACTGTAACTGAAAATTTACTTTTATTCTTTTACAAACTTTGGTCGATTTCAGGAGTGAGGAGTGTTGAGCCTACAAAAATGACAAATAAGCCACTTGGCATTTTGTGGGTGATTAACCAGTTTACAGACTGGGTTTTAAATAGGCTCTCAACAGCCAGGAAGTGAAGGAGCACATCCATGTGTTCTGGCCTCATTCAGGTCATGCAGGTGGTTGAACTGGATAACACCAGACAAAAAAAATTTTAATCCATTTACTGACATGGGTTGTCCAGACTAAACAGGCTACAACATTGATATAGTCAGCAAAATCAATGCCCAATATCCTTCTGGTTTTTGCTCTCCATATGGGGTTAACACTGGTAGCCCTAGAAAGTAAATGCAAGAGCCATACCTAAGCCCTAAGAGAAAACGGACTTTGAGATAAATACATCATATAAATTGTTCTCTGTCTTGACTTTATAGCAACACTAACCTGCAAGCATGATAGAAATTTATAAATACTAATATTTCTTTTGGTTTAGTCTTAAATGATTGGGCTTTAAAAAAACTTAATGCATTCCATTTTCTTCTAAAATGCATTTCTCATGTTGCACTTAGAATGCATGTACAAAAATTACTTTTTAGTCACTGGCATGTCAGTTGTGACTAGCCTCCTATCCAGATTCAAAGACAATATGAAATCTTCCTAGCTGTTTTTAAAACTGCATGGCTGGCCTTTCTAGTGTTTTAAGAATTCCCCTCAATTGATCTTTAAAAGGAAGTGAGAAATATGTATGGAAATATATGTGAACCTCCAAAATGTTACATGAAATAGCTGCATATGATACCCTAGACAGCATCTAAAGAGTCCAAGGCACCTTATTTGCCCTCTAATCAATTAATTTAAAGGTGACAAGCATTTATTGGCTGTTTCTAGAGGCTGTACTAAATCACTGAACAATTTTTTAAAGTGTCCCGAAATTAAAGCGTGAAAGTAGAAAAAGTTAAAATAGTAACAACATTTACAAAACAGCTTTCAAACATAATCTTTATCACAGAACATACAAGTTGTGGGTTCCTATTCAATGAACACATAACTGCATTTCTGAAACATGCTTCCTATTTTGAAATGTTCAGCCTAAATACCTAATTATTCTTCACGCTGCAAAGTCAGTTACTATTTGTGAAGGATCATTCATTAATGTTTTAATTTTTAAACACTGCAGATCATAAAGGTAAAAGGCCATCCAGCCAATGTAATCTCCCTGCATCATTTGTTTGTGATGTTGGCAAGTTTAAAATTGTGTGGCCTACTTTTAAAAAGTAAAGCTAGTTTCATCTTTTCTACTTTACATACAAATCTATGTGTAACCCTCAGCTTAACATATTGCCTAGGAGAACAGAACCAAAAAATGCAATATCACCTGTACTGTTCCAATTTTCTTGAAATTTTTTCAATCATGAATTTTTAAATGTCTTCCCCTTTTAAGATATATTCTAGCCAGACATAAACATTTTGTTTGAATTTGATTGAATTCACTTCTTACTTTCTGTCTTCAATTCCTTTTAACCTCTCTGTACTTGTTCTCTGTGTTCTTCTGTCTGGATTTTCTGATTCCTGTGTCACCTCTCTGTGTAACGTGGTCATTAACACAGTGGATGCAGTACTCCGTCCGGTATTGACGGTGGCAGTGGACGTAGCACCCCTTCTTCTGTCAGTACTCTTAGTACTATTTGCCCAGGTGACTTGAAAGTTGCTGCTAAGATGGCCCCTAACATTCCTTTGGAAATGGAACTTCCTGGTGTGAAGATTGTACATGCTCAGTTTAATACACCTATGCAGTTGTACTCAGATGACAATATTATGGAAACACTTCAGGGTCAGGTTTCAACAGCTCTAGGGGAAACACCCTCAATGAGGTAATATGAGTCTTTTTGAACAATGGGCATATTAATTAAACACATGGGCAATGTCAACTTTACTGGTGTCTTTTAACGTTGTCTTAACTGGGAGAAAGTTATGTGGAAAGCTTTCAAGAGAAAAATACTAAGGATGTATTACAAATATCTAGACATAAAGATAAAAGTGATTTCCAGAATGAATTAAGTAGAGTTTTATGTGACAGATCACAAAAAAATGAAATCATGGAAGAACCAAATGTGTATATCTCTTGGAAAGCTACAGTGTTCTTTAAAATGTCTGGTACGATACTTTTCAAAAGTGATTAATAATATAGTCTACTCTATCCTTCTCCTTCGGAGGTCAAAGTTTGGGAAAGTGATGGGAGGTTCAGAGGGATTTTAAGAGATGACGCCTCTTCTCTCTTTTAATGGTAACTTATGGAGAGATAATCATTTTTTCATTTGGAATTTTTGCCATAAGTAAGGTTTTATAAACTCAAGTTAATAATGTAAATATTTAATTTCCATTGGTCTCTTATTTTGACTAATTTTTTCTTATTTATGAATATTTGTTCAAAGCACTTTTGCCATCAAGCTTTTCCAATTAAAAAGATTATAAGATAAAGCCTTATTACTTCTTTCAGCATTACATAGCCACTTTTTATAAATTAAAGTTTTGTAATGTTTAAGAGTACTATGTAACAATTTTCAAAAATATCTCTTGGGATGAATACAATGAGATAATAATCATGTAATGTATCTCAAAGCTTTTTTGCAAGGAATTTTGGATATATAGGATGATGATTTTCAAATAGGATATAGGTAGAAAAATATGTGCAGATAGCAACTACCTTTTATACACAATGCAATTAAATGACATAAAATAATAAAGCATTGTGTACCTGACATGTAGTATTATTATTGAGACATTTTCTTATACTTGAATTGTATTTGTAGAATATTAAAAATAAAGCTGCTATCATTGTTAGAAGTGATTTATAATGTGTCTATTAAAAAACATAATGTAGTCAATATAACTGAAAGTCTCTACATTATGTACTTTCAGATACGAGTTGATATCTTCAATTTATAAACAAAATTATACCTTTGTTGTTTTCAGGAGTTAACAAATTAACCTTAAAAATAAAATGAAACCATACCTTTCTGTTTAATATCAGAAGTGAATCTGAATTGTATTGACCATTTTATGACTGAGAATTATCAAACTGGGGTCACTCCTACACTTCCTACCACATGTATGTTGTTTTTTTTTCTGAGAAAAGTTCATTTTGTTCACATTATAATTATATATCCGTCAAACACGAGTGTTATTTTTTTAACTGCTATTCTCTAACAATCACATTTTAGTTGCCCTCCAAAGTATTCTGCCAGATGGAGATGTAACGTAATTTAATGACATCTTCAAGATGACCCACATGAATTCATATCATATTTTTAACTGTCATAGAGATCAACTTAAAAATACAGAAGCTTTGTTCAGGAGTTACTGCAAATAGAGTGATCATTGCTTATTCATGTCTTGTGGCTTCTTGCACACCCCCTGTGCCACGACGCTCCTGACACTGCTTCACCTGCCACCCTGTGTTTCAGTGAACCCGTAGCCTCCGTGCCCCCCCAGTCAGATGTGTACCGGATGCTCCATGACAATCGAAATGAACCTACCCAGCCCCGCCAGTCGGGCTCCTTCAGAGTGCTCCAGGAATTAGTGAACGACGGCCCTGGTGAGCAGCCATGAATGTGTGCTGGGACAGTATTGATGAAGGACATTAGAAAAGTCAAGGGACGGGAGGACAGTAAACATACTGGGAACGAAAGTCTAAAACTTTATTCAATTTTGTGATCAAATGAATCTTTCCTCAGAAGGATTGGGGTGGTGATTGGTTTTGGAAAGGAGCATCCAGAATGTGTCCAAGTTGCCACCAACGTGGTGATAAATGAAAACAAAACAGATTCCCTCCACAGTAATCAAGGGGCTAATTCAGCTTCAAAATCATAAATTCCAATTTTCAACGGATATTGCAAAATTTCTCAGCCTCCCCCCACATTCCAGGGTATCATCATCATCATCATCAAAATTTTTAAATAACACTGAAATGAACCCTTACTATGTTCAAAACCCTGTGCTAAGTACTTTGCATACTCGATCATTTATCCTCACAGTAACTTGTGAGATAGGAACTATTATCTTCTTTACTTAATAAATGAGAGGGGCGCCTGGGTGGCTTAGTCGGTTAGGCGTCCGACTTTCGCTTAGGTCATGGTCTCGCAGTTCGTGGGTTCGAGCCCCGCATCGGGCTCTGTGCTGACTGCCAGCTCGGAGCCTGGAGCCTGTTTCAGTCTGTGATTCTCTCTCTCTCTGACCCTCCCCTGCTCGCGCTGTCTCTCTCTCTCTCTTAGAAATAAATAAAACATTAAAAAAAAAATAAAAAATAAATGAGAAACTGAGGCATAGAGACAGCAGATTTGTACAAAGAGATGCAGCCAGTAAGAAGCAGGGCTGAATCTCTAGCCACCCTTGCTGTCCTCAGGGCTTACACTCTTACCAATGTTTTTCCATCAATAAAAGATACACTGTCCTTTAGGGGCACCCGGGTGGCTCAGTCGGTTAAGCGTCTGACTTAGGCTTGGTAATGATCTCATGGTTTGTGGGTTCCAGCCCCACTTTGGGCTCTGTGCTGACAGATAGCTCAGAGCCTAGAGCCTGCTTCGGATTTTGTATCCCCGTCTCTCTCTGACTCTCCCCTGCTCACGCTCTCTCTCTCTCTCAGAAATAAATAAAACATTTTTAAAAATTTTTAAATAATAAAAAAAATAAAAAACTGCACAAAAATGCCCCACTAGGAGAGCTAATATCTTTCTAAAAGAAAAAACAAGTGTTGGTGAGCATGAGGAAAAATTGGAACCTTTGTTGATTGTTGATGGGAATGCAAAATGGTGCAGCCATTGCAAAAAACAGTATAGAGGTTCCTCAAAAACTTAATGTAGAATTTCAATATAAACCAACAATTACATTCCTGGGTCCATACTCAAAGAATTGAAAGCAAGGATTCAAACAGATGTTTATACACCAATGTTCATAGCAGCATTATTCAAATAGCCAGAGAGTGAAAACAACGCATACGTCTATCAACTCATCAATGGATAAACAAAATATGGTCTACCCACACAACAGAATATTACGCAGCCTCAAACAATGAAATTCCAATACATGCTGCCACATGGATGAACCTTGCAAACATGCTGAGTCAGACAGGCCAGACACAAAAGGACAAATATTGTGTGAGTCCACTCATTTGAGGTACCTAGAATAGGCAAGTCATAAAGACAGCAAGTAGAGTAGAGGTCACCAGGGTCTGGGAGGAGGAGAGAATAGGTAGTTACTTTTCAATGTGTACAGGGTTTTTGTTTGGATGATGGAAGAGTTCTGGGAAAAAAAAATTATTGGTGATGGTTGCACAACCTTGTGAATAGACTTACTGCTACTGATTTACCCATTTTAAAATGGTTAAGATGGTCAATTTTATGTTATGCATATTTTACGCCAATAAGAAACAGGAAAAAATGCAAAATGTTTTCTGCCTCTTTGTTCATTTTAAAACAGCTCCTTACAACAATGACAACAACAACTTTTAACTAATTCTGGTTCGTAAGGGCCTGCTTCAGAGCAAGTTATGCTTGAAGCAGTCCTACTCCTTTTGAAATGATGGTAGCCGTGCAACTTAAGAATTCCTTAAGTTAAAGTGCACACCTTAAAATAGAAGCAAAGTACGAACTAGCCAGTAGCCAGCTGTTCCCTTGCCATAAATGGAAACACTTTGTTTTTCAGATGACCGTCCTGCTGGCACTCGGAGTGTGAGAGCTCCAGTTACAAAAGTCCACGGTAGCTCTGGCAGCACACAGAAGATGCCACTCTGTGACAAATGTGGGAGTGGCATTGTGTAAGTTTCATTTTTAACCCAGGAATTCACTATAAATCTTGGTATCTGCTCTCTATGTCTATTCAGTGACTTAAAAGATATCCATGACATTTAGTACATTTGACCAGAATGCATTCAATGCACCCTAAAATTGGCATATAATGTGAATCAGCAATCTGGACTTATAATTTCATATATTTTCTCATAAAAAATTTTCCTAGAAGTATTTTTTAAAAATCACATCCAAGAATCACAATTTCACTTCAAAAAGCCCTCTTTTTATTAATATACAATCTTTAAATACTTACTTTTCTGTATAAACTCAGGGAACCAAATACTTGGATCATCAAGTTGTTCATTAGAACACATTATCTTTACTTTGTTTCTTAAGTTGCACAAATATTGAAATATAATTTTTAAAAATGCAGTCAGCTTCCATTTCAAGGGTCCCTATGTTCGAATAGCCACACTTGCTAGTTCAAATCTTCCAGCGAGCCAAGTCATCTCAATCTCTCCACTGCAAATGCCTCACGTGGCCACTTCTCCCACCCCTTTATTCTGTTCCTCTATTCCACACTGAGGTACCATTGGTCCACGTTTCCAGGATTCATCCCAGGAGGGTAGTGCAGGCCAAGCCTGATTCCAGCAAGTGGCAGAATGTGACATGGAAAGAAAGAAGCAGGACAGGGAGCTCCGGAGCAGAAAGGATCTCATAAAACACAAGAGTTTATAATGGTACCAAAAGCAGTGACTGCACCCACGCTGGAGTAAACTGTTTTGACAGCAGAGGTCAGCCCACCCACCCATGGCAATCCCATCTCTGCTCTTGAGTCGATTTTCTCTGTGCCCCATAGAATAAAGGCTGCACCACCAATACAGAAAGCAGGCAGAGGGATTTCTAGCCTTGTAGGCAACCTTGGTCAAAATCAGAATCCAGTGCAGAGGTGTTAGTCTTATTTATATCATGCTTTCTTCTTTCAAAGAAACAATCGGCAAAGATCATGAGGTGAGACCAAATAACTGTTGTAGAAAGGACTTGTTTGAAAACTCTGAAAAATATGCCCCAGTCAACGTGAGCGAGAAACACGTGATGTGTTATTGTGGTCCTCATGGATGTGACAATGACATCAGTTTCACAGCCTTGCTGGTTTTACAGCTGGAGGCTGTTTCCTGAATATGAAACAGATAACACCTGCCTTATCTGCAGCGTCCTCCCCCTTTGTATCGTGTTTTTGGCTTTGTGTTTTGTTTTGTTTTGTTTTGTTTTGTTTTACTTGATCTCCCTTTTCTCTACAGTGGTGCTGTTGTGAAGGCGCGGGATAAGTACCGGCATCCCGAGTGCTTCGTGTGTGCCGACTGTAACCTCAACCTCAAACAGAAGGGCTACTTCTTCGTGGAGGGGGAGCTGTACTGCGAAACCCATGCAAGAGCTCGCACGCGGCCCCCAGAGGGCTACGACACAGTCACTCTTTATCCCAAAGCTTAATTTGAGTCTTAACCCAGACCAGAGCACGCACACCCTCACGCGCACTTAACGCAGGAAGACATCAATAGCTTTGCGCAGAAGTATAGCAAACTGTTGACTCCAAATCTAAAACCAAGGCTTTTAGACATTCATCTTATTGTTACTGAAGAAAAGGAGTGGGAGACAAATGCCTGCTATAAATATATGTGTAAACACACATTTAGCTATGTTTTGCAGCTTTTCTCTCTGGGGCTAGCAGTGACTGAATGACATTTAAAGCAATACTTTTTTTCTATGTCCTACTCCACAACTTACATTTGTATTATGACATCAAGATATTTGGGGAAGCCTAATTACCTTTCTTTAACAAGCTGTTTTTGCAATTGTAGTAAATACCAAATGGCAGTTGTCTGTTATTGTTTTATTATAGTGCATGTCAGGAAGAAATTCCCTAGATTTTCTCTAGTTTCATATTCAAACAATTATACCACCAGATGAAATATCCATAATAAATACATAAAATATTTTTAAAATACCGAATGAAGTGGCACTCAATGCATTCAAATAAAAGCAACATTCCAACAAGAGACCCAATCATATCTTGACATGTACACTAACAACCCAGCTATTTTAAGAAAAATATGGTTTAGTTTTTGTAAGTCCTTCACTCTTTCTTATAAGCCCACAATTTCTGCTGAAAGGACGAACACTTAAATTTGCTAATTAAATATAATTCACTCCCTTTCCATTAAAACAGTTGCTTATGCTCTGAAATGGTCTCTTTCATTTTTTTTTTAAATGTTTTATTTATTTATTTCGAGGAGAGAGAGAGAGAGAGAGAGACAGCATGAGCAGGGGAGGGTCAGAGAGAGAGGGAGTGGCAGACTCTGAAACAGGCTCCAGGCTCTGAGCTGGCAGTCAGCACAGAGCCCGACGCGGGGCTCGAACCCACGAACCGCGAGATCATGACCTGAGCGAAAGTCAGACGCTTAACCGACTAAGCCACCCGGGCGCCCCTGGTCTCTTTCATTTTAAATGCTTCTTTCAGATGAACTATTCAGTCAAGTTCAAGGCTCAGACCTCCCTGAAGGCTATCTCTTCTTGCCCAAAATTTCACCACTGCTGCCTCCTCCTTCCCAAGATGGCATCTCCAAAAGGGGACAGTTTCAGGACACTTAGGAGGAAGGGAGGGGCTGCTGCCTCCTGGGGCCCTATTGTACCCACAGCTAAAGTTCATGGTTTCACTTGTGGTTTGTTTTCTCCACGTGGTTGGCAGCAGGCAACTAACCCACCTCCAGCATCATCTCAGGAAATCCCAGCTCAGCCTTCCCTGGAGTCATGGATCCTTTGCAACTCAGCCCTGAACTCCACCTGGCCCCTGGCTGTTTTGTCACCTTGCCTCTCACTATGGTGGCCACGTGGCAATGTCCTTAACTTACATGTCTTACCTACTTCCTATGATCCTCACTGGGGATACCTGGGAAGCTTCTCAAACTGCCGCACACAAACCAAGGCAAACTGGCAGGGTGTGGAGGTGGAGAGGTAGGGACCGTCTCAGGCCCTCTGTCTCACCTCCTGGTCACAAAGTCATCTCTACCCTATTACAGCTGCTGCCAGTGGGCCTGGAGCAGGTAATCTCCTTCTGTCCCAAATGGAAAATAGGGCACGTATTGTATTGCTCTGGGATTTCCCCAGACTTAACCAATTATTTCTGACTCTGACCCGTCTAAAGTTTTGATCTAGTGAGACAAGCCAGAACACCAGCCTGGCCCCTTAGGCATCTGAGATTGCAGCTGGAGCCCCTGCACCAAAACCAATTCATTAACAAAGGGATTCAGATAAAATAAATAAAATACATAGAGATCAAGGAAATGAACGTACCCAAAGTAGATTACATTTCTTTCAGATGTTAGTTTAAAACATTTTGGTCTGGGAAGGATATAAACTTAGAAGATTGGAAGCTATAGAACAAATAAATGGTAATTGACTTAGAAGATTCAAGAAAGTTGAAATCCAAAGTAGCAATGGAGAAAACTGAAAAACAACCCAATATACCCTCCAGAATCTTGTCAAGGTATGGAAATTATCAGCGCTAGCATTTCTGGACTAGGGGATAAAGGTGGCATGACTATCAGGAAGAGCAAATAGAAGCTGTTTGAGAAATATTTAATCCCCACAGCTGTCCCCTTTCTTATAGCATATGGCCCTTTCCAGTGGAAGTCCTCTAGGAACTATCTGTAGAAGGTAAAACAACATCCAAATGGGAATCAGGAAGCACAGCTGAAGACAGTGTACTGTACTAAAAAGAGGTAAAATTAAGAATGAAAGACTTGGGGTGCCTGGGTGGCTTAGTCGGTTGAGCGTCCTACTTTCGCTTAGGTCATGATCTCACGGTTTGTGGGTTCGAGCCCCGCATCGGGCTCTGTGCTGACAGCTAGCTCAAAGCCTGGAAGCTGTTTTCAGATTCTTTGTCTCTCTCTCTCTCTCTCTGACCCTCCCCTGCTCATGCTGCCTCTCTCTCTCTCTCTGTCAGAAATAAATAAAACATTTTTTAAAAAAGAATGAAAGACTTCATGATAAAAGTGTACATGAGACATTATGCTGTATATTAATGCACACTGTATGTTAGTATATAGTAGAATAATAATGGATGGCTTAACTTCACATGTTTAATAACAAGAAAAAAAAGTAGTATAGTTTTTTTAATAGTATACTTCTAATTCAAAGTTCAAGAGAGATAAAGCTTAAATCTCGTAATTCAGACTATGTGACCAAGGCTTGGGAAGTATGTCCTGAAGCTGCATGTTCATTATATTTAATACAAATTATTCTTTTGACAATTAAATCTAGACATTTCAACATGTAGAGAATTAATAAATAGAAATGAATGCAGTAATTTATATATAGCTTTGCACTCACAGTATGGAACTTGCTTGGGATTCTATGTCTTCCTCTTTCTCTACTCTTCCCCTGCTCACGTTCTCTCTCTCTCTCTCTCAAAAATAAACAAACATTTTAAAAAATAAAATAAAAATGGCCAGAAAACATGAACAGACATTTCCCCAAAGAAGACATCCAGATGGCCAACAGACACATGAAAAGATGCTCAGCATCACTCAACATCAGGGAAATACAAATCAAAATACAGTGAGATATCACTTCAGGCCTGTCAGAATGGCTAAAATCAACAACACAAGAAACAAAAGATGTTTTCAAAGATGTGAAGAAAAAGGAACCCTTGTGCACTGTTGGTGGGAATGCACACTGATGCAGCCACTCTGGAAAACAGTATGGAGGTTCCTCAAAAAGTTACAAATAGAATTACCTTATGATCCAGCAATTGCAATACTGGATATTTACCTAAAGAATACAAAACACTAATTCAAAGGGATATATGCACTCCTATGCTTATAGCAACATTATTTACAATAGCCAAGATATGGAAGCAGCCTAAGTGTCCATCAATTGATGAATGGATAAAGAAGCAGTGATATATATATATATATATATATATATATATATATATATGGTACTAATCAACCATAAAAAAGAATGGAATCTTGCCATTTGCAATGATGAATGGAACTAAAAACTATAATGCTAAACAAAATAAGTCAGAGAAAGACAATACCATATGATTTCACACATATGTGGAACTTAAGAAATAAAACAAACAAGCAAAGGGAGGAAAATGAAAGAGAGAGAGAGAGAGTAAGAAACAGATTTCCTAATTATAGAGAATATCTGAGGGAAGGGGGTGGACAATGGGTAAAATAGATGATGTAGGTTAAGGAGTAAACTTGTAGTGATGAGCACTAGGTCTTGTATGGAAGTATGGGTGTACTATATTGTACATCCAAAACTAATATAACACTGTATGTTAACTAATTGGGATTAAACTAAAAACCTAAATAAAATGAAAAAAATAAATGCAATATGAACATTGTTTTTAAATATATAAAGTACAAAATAAAAATACAATGTTAAAATGGAAAGGAATTAAAGCAAAAAAAAAAATTAGAAAGCAGTATAACCCTCCCATACTAGCATTTTGTCTCTCAATAAGTTCACACTAGATTCTACATTGGAATTCACGCCATGAACAAAGACTGCCAACCAATTTTGATATTGCTCACAGAACAACACATTTCCTTAGTAAGCAGACGAGTCACTACGTTTATATTTACAAGCTTATTAAAGCTAACATTAATCAACGAAACTATCCATTAAGAATAAGAACTATCTTATAAGAGTATCTATGGACTTTGGGCTCATGATTAACTAAATTATAGGTGTTTTTTTTTTTCAAAGTAAACATTGGGTAGAGTTGCTACGCTCTCTACCAATAGGATAAACAAGTGAATAAAAAGCACTCCTAGTTATCATATAGGTTTGCACCTGTGTAAGCAGAGTAAAATGTAACGGTTAACATGACACACAAAGAGGTTACTCATCTCCATGTAAGATAATCTCCAGTTTGTCCAACATGAGAACACTCCAAGATAAACAGAATGGAACTCTGGGTTTCTTCTATTAACAACTTTAGTTGCAAGTTTGCCAGGTTGACCTTTAAACAGATTTGATTTCTGCCTTGCAAAACTGTTACTTATAACCATTACTCTTTATTATCATGTCACCATAACCTAATGTTCTCTTATTATTTATGCTGTGCCATCTGAATCTTAAGCACAAAAAAGGTGATTCAAGAAAGAATGAGATGTTCGGATAATTGAAGTAAATAAACCATTTATCTCCTCTAGGACCACTTCAAGATAATCCTCTCAAGTCTGTTCATTTTGGAGAGCACTCAGTAAATATTTATTTGAAAACCTACCAAGTAAGAGATGTTGCATACAGGCATAACAATATGGATGTTTGAATACTTCTCTCTACATTTACAAATTAACATTTTTAAACTAATTAGAATGCTTCATGTGATTAATTTTAAAACAAAGCACATATAAGAACTGGTTGCTTATAATTATCCTTCCAAATTTTTAATAGTATTATTAATCATTCATTTCAGAAGAACACAAAATCAGATATTAACATTGTCTTTTTAGTTACCTGAAAACTTTGTCTAAATATGCAAAGAATGTCCAACATGTTTTCCTTTCTCTAGGAATAAGGCATGTCAGTATTTGTAAATTTACGCAAACCCAAAGCACAATTCCATTGTCCATCAAAGAATAATACAATACCTGCTCTTAAAACCTAATTACTACCTCTATCATAACTATTAACCATAAATAGATTTTAAGATTATATATTAGATGCCAAATATTTGGGGATAACAATTATTCCATTCCTTTATTTATTCAGTTTTTCACCTGGTGCAAGTTGTTATTTCTGCACCAAAAGCAAAACAATGTTGTGAGTTTGAGAACTATTTCTCATGAGGTCAAATTCTGATCCTATATCCTTTTCTGGAGTATAGGGGTTGAAAAACACAGATATGTGTATTAGCCATCATATGTATATGCACCTAGGCATGCACATATCTCTGTTTCACAAAAGCATGGAGGTTATGCAACCAAAGTCATGGATAAGAGCTGCTTGAGGCACAATTACGTCCACAGGTGCTGTGGTTGCTCAGCCTGCCCTTTCACACATCTGGGCTCCAGGTGCTGCTATCTGACTTCCCAAAGCTCCCAACCCTTTCAGAGTACTGCTTCATGTCACAGAGCTTTTCATTCCTCCTCATGAATACACCTGTACTTGATTCCAGTCTCTCTGATCAATGCTTGCTCTGCCATCGAATGGACTCATTTGTG